TCGGACTTGAAATGGCGGAGAAAAAGGGGGAAAACTGGTTTTTGATACCCAAAAAACTAGTTTCGAGAAAAATGCAAAATAAAAAAAACTTGTAGAAGAATTTTTTTTCCGCTTATACGTACGTATAGGTATACCATATCATAATATTACTTTACGTTAAAAAAAAAATTTTTTTTAATGCATAGGTCTCCAAAAAACCTGATTTTTCAGAGACTTCCCGACCTTTGATGGTTCTGATTTTTATAGCACACATAGAGAGGACCTTGATACACCTTTACACGAAAAGAAAAAAATCGAAAAACTTGTTTTTCGCTCAGGAAAGGGGGGGGTCCCTTTAACTAGGTTTGAATCCATTTGACATACGCATTCGGGATTCCCAGACGAGGCAACTTTCCCAGACATCCTTCAAACCAGAGTTGATCAAAAGCAGACTTAAAATCAACGAATACTGTCGCCACCACACCGATATTTTTCTTTTTCTGTTCGTCTTTTTTACATTGTTCTTCTCCTTATATACTTTGTGGTTAATTTTAGTTACTCAGACTGAACTCACGTTCATAAATCTAATAAACCATACATATACCTATAATCAAGATGAATAGAGGGATGTGTATCGTGTCTAATGCTTTACACAATGTTAATATATATTAAATTCAGTCGATTTCCATCATCGTCCTTTTGCTCCCTAATGTTGAGTCATCATTGTCTCTCTTTTATTCGATAATTAGTCATAGCATTAAACGAATGTTGAATATGAATCAAATCATATATATTCGTATCGATTTATTCATATGATAGTCGCCCTATTCAACATATACTTTTTTTCTCATTGTTGCATTTCTTTGATGACTCATCCATTTACATTATTACGGATCACACAAACAAACCAAGATATATTTCTTCCTTCAGAACAAGCGGTCCATGCAAGTTGAAGAATAGAAAAATAAAAAATGTCTTTCTTTTTTCTTTCATACATGATTCTTTTAAGACCCGTTAGTCAGTAAAACCAAAACGAAAGAACGACAAGTGTCGTATTCTATCTAATAGTCACATAGAGATATAACGAAGAAAAACAAGTCAACGTTGATTCATTCGTAAGTTCGAACACTTCATTTTTTTCTCTCGGAATAGAATTGCATCGATTTCTTCTTTTTTTTTTTTTTTGTTTTTTTTTTTTGAAAGGCTCTAAATAAAACCAAACAGAATGCAAACACATCTGTTTGTTCGTTTTTTGAATAAAATCATATAGATTATAAAACGAAGAAAAAAAGAAATGTTTCCATAAGAAATGAAACGATATAAAAATTGTTGAAGGATTTCAATATATAATTTTTCTTGATTGTGAATATGAAGTAAAATTTGATTATTTTAGATATTGATAACAATGGCTATGATATCCAGTGATGAATCTTGGAATCATATGACATCATTTGATTTTGATGATTTATTTTTGTTTTCTGATGATTTAAATCTTCAAAATGAATATGATCAATATTCTATGTTACATAATGATATAATTGAAGACAAGGCTACTTCATCGTCTGAAGTAAATGATTTAAATCTGTATTCAGTATTTGTAATATAATAGTTGTTATTCTTTCCGTTAGACCGATCAATCTCAACTACAAACATCATCAAACAATAATTCAGAACACGAATCTCGATTGCCGAGTCTAGAATGTCGTGTTTGTGGTGCTCCAGCTTACGGTTATAATTTTGATCAAATTACTTGTGAATCGTGTAAAGCATTTTTTCGTCGAAATGCATTTCGGGATATGGTAATAAGCATTGAATAATTGAAACAGAATTCACATACTTTTGAAGACATTATTCCAAATACTTGATGATAGAAGTATTAAATCCTTTGAAGACTAAGTTAGCCAACTTCTTGAAATATTAATATTGCAAATCATTAAATACTATGCAGCTATTAGAGCGAGCATTAATTGCAGAGATCCACAAATTTCCTATCAAAAATATTTATGTAACTAATAGTCATTTCAAAATAAAAGAAGGATGAGTATTTTTTTGGAATAATTTTTGATAGGGACAAGAGACAGATCTGCGGCTTTCATCGTTTAAAAGAGAAGATTCACCGGCATCGAATTATGTGTACCGAAGGTTTTAGGGTTGTTTTTATCAGGGCCTTCCACCAAGTTTTTTAAAAAATCGAGACTTTTAAATAGGTTTATAAAGTGGTTTTTCATTAAAAATGCAAAAAAAAGTCAGTTTTTTTGTGAAAAATCTACCGAAAATACATAGTAAAATGTTTATAACTCATGATTGGCTAAATCTTATAACATAGGACTTACATAATGTATAGATCTTCAGTTAATGATTCTAGTGCATCCTTGAATATTAAAATGCTAAAACTTTTACATTACACAATGTTTTATTTCTAATAAACTTGATTTAGAACCTGAGAGAGCTTGTCAGAAAAATCCGGTATATGTGATTTAATGTAGTTCTATCTCATCTTTTAAACAGCGAAAACTGTCGATCGTTATCTTGTTCCTATCAAAAGTTATTCTAAAAATACACACTTCTGTTATTTTGAAATAAATAATAAATACGTGACAATGATCAGCGCTTAGTATATTCATTATAGGATATTGAGAGATCAATGTAGAATTAAAAAAGTATAGTTAATAATCTAATAAAGTTGAGAGTTATTCATGGGGAGCATCTCAGATCAAGTATGTGTCATTGAATATTTGCCTAGCTAACTTGTCTGAGGCTTAATATTGAACGAAAACGATCATCAATCCGAAGTGACAAGATATGAGGAGAATCCTTTCGAAGTTCTACTAATCAGTATGATCGACTCTTGCATACAGACAAATTATGAGTTCAATTGGTATCCAATAGTTGAACACAGATCTTGGTTAGTGTCAAATCTATCTAATTGTCTAATTAAAAAACAAGCTCCAATCAGTCATTCAATAGATGTTTCAACCCCAGCTTCCTTTGGACATTGAAATTCGATCACAATAAAGTATGCTAATTATTCGATAGATGACGAGGAGGAAATTCAAACATAGCTACTTACGATGTATTTTCATTGAACATCTAAACTTATTATTCTTCTTGGAAAGTTATTTTAACATTTGCTAGTAGTTTTAAACATAAAACACAACATTTTGTTTATTTAAGAAAAAAGCATTTGCATGTCTCTAATAACTAAAGGGAAAACAATTCTTGATTTTCAGATGCTACATTAACAGCGTATTTGATAATTAATTGATTTGTATGATAATGAATATTTAGAAAGCCTTTCAAAGGCTGACAATTCCTTATGACTACATATTTGGTAAGACTACAGACGGATTTCGATCTTAGTTTCCATCATTCGATATTAACTTATCTCATGCAAATTGCTGAGAAAGCATCGATTGACGATTTGGTTAACCACTACTTTTGTGCTTGATTTGTTTTGATCTCTCACTGTATGAATATTTTTTAGGGTCTCAGAAACATGATAGATTTTAGTCAATATCGCGCATCCTCTAGGTCTTGAATACGTTCACACCACCCGTATCCGCCACATCAACTGTTATTGCTTAGGTTTTGAGTTTGATTATTTATACATATGGCACCGTTTGACAAAAAAAATGCTGTGGCATATTGAAATCTACTTTTTTGAGTAGTAACGGTCTCCTCAGGTTTTAATGAAAAACTGACGACGTGAACTGCTTCTACTAGAGCACTCGAATGTATTCTTTTGATGTGCATCTTTACCACAGTGAGTCGAAATTGCAATAGGTTCCTTCTCACCGAGTATTTAAAACATTGAGGAGGAGAAAATTAGTAGTCGGTAGGATCCAGTTATCGAGTGCTTGTCCTACTGTGTTCTGTCCTCTCCTATGGGCAACTGGTAGAAACAAAGCATTGGACATGACTATCAATAAATGGAAAAACCCTTACGTATCATGCTAATTGTCCCAATAATCTATAAGTTCTATCCGAAATTTGTCAAGTTATAATGAACTGAAATTTCAAAAATATTTTCTTTTTTTTTCAGTCTCAACTAAGATGTCGATTTTCCGATTCCTGTATTATTACTAGTTCCACCCGTCGTCAATGTGCAACTTGTCGATTAAAAAAATGTTTTGATATTAAAATGCGTAAAGATTGGATTCGTACTGAAGAAGAAAAACAATTCAGACAATTAATAAAAATAGCTAAAGAACAAAGGAAAACAAATAATCTACCAAACGATCAGCAACCTCTTGCTACTTTTCCACTAGTTCTACGAAAGAAAAAACGTTTGATGATAAAATCAATAAGCCAAGAACTTTTTGTTACTAATCCAGTAAGTACAATAAAAATAATTGAATATTATTAATGATTTTTATCTTCCTGTTCTAGGTTCATAAGATCAGTTTTTTTGGTGTTAATCATATTCTACATGATGATGATCGAACATTATTAAACAATATAAATAATGCTTATCAATCAGTAGTAGCTACAATTGATTACTCTTATACTAATAAATATACATCATCGACAACTCTTACGCAGTTTTTAAATGATGAAAGTGTTGTGCATGAATCATTAATAAATTTTTTTAAATATATACCTGAATTTAAACAATTAGATGTAGATGATCAAATTATCTTGATCAAATCTAATTTTCATAATATTATACATTTACATCTTACAATAATGCGTAATTTTCAAAGCCGTGCACGTATTGGTAATCATATGTCGAAATGGATAAATGAAGATTTTCATAATCAGATGGTTCGAACACGTCGATATTTTTGTCGTTTTATGAATTATCCATTGTTATTAAAACTCACATTAATTGTTTTTATCTTTAGTATTAATTTATCTGCATCGTATGATATTAATAAATTTTATGAATATAAAAATACGAGAATATTGCTTGAATTTCAAAATTTTTATACGAATATTCTTTGGCGTTATTTAAATCACTTGTTTGTCGAAAAAGAAGCAATACAAGCAATGCAAATAATAGTTACACAAATTTTACGTTATCAACTGTTAATGGTAACGCTGACGAATTCTGTAAAGCAAAGTCCAGATCGCTTTCAATTGCATTCATTAATGCAATCCATATTTGGACTTACCTAAGAAATACATGGATATCAATATTTATTCATTAGATCAATGCTGTATTGTGTGTTAAAATGAAATTCTATTATAGAAGAATATAAAAATTTAGAAATTATATAAACACATAAATATTATATCTTTCCAATTAATTGTGTAATTGTATAATGATATTTTTTTTTCTTTTAATTTTTAACATTGCCAAAGAATTTTAACAGATTGCTGTGCATTCATTCTTATAAAATAATGATGAAAAGAACTTTGGAATGAAACATGTTTTGAAATATTCGGGGTTGTTAGGAAAATCGTGATTAGTTTTTTTAGCCATTTTAGATCTCTATTCTCTTCTGATATGAGATACCACCCACCCTCACAGTAGAAACGCACTATGCAAGAAAAACATCTACATTATCTATGGATGTGAAGTGTTTATATAAATATTGACAAGTGACTCATCCGAGTATGGTTCTCTGAGACACTGACTACACTAATGTAGGTGTTCACTACAACATTAAGATACCAACTTTATCGACATATGTCTTTTTTTACAGTGTTGTGTTCCAATACTTTAATGAGCATTAGTGCCAGTATGAGAGTGTGTATTATCCTTTGTAAGTTTTTAATGCAATCATGTTTGTAATTAATCGCATATGCATTTGATCTCTATATCTCCTGTATTTTTTACTTTAACAAAATCTGTACGTTGTGTCGTGATGATCTAGAGAACGACAACCAGGTCTCGCAACGGTATTACTTTCCTGATTTTTTGGATGTGTCCTGATTTATTTCTATAGGACTATATCTAGATGATTATGATGCATTCTTGTATTATGGTCAGTTTATCTTTTGAAATTTCTTTAAAAATATTTATAGAATATCTTAAACAAGAAAAGAAATATAATGTTCAAATAATATTTATTTCAGGCACTCATTTTTCTATGCTTTTTTCGTAATCGGTTTACGTTTTCACTATGTTCAAAAGGTAGCATTAGTAATCAGAGATTTGCACCGTGTCTAAAAGCAAGGTGAGGTCAACAATATTTGCAAAATAGCGGCACGGTCGCTTCACATCTTTCTTACTTGAAGACCATGGAATGGCGTGGTTGCTTCTAATGGTATGTAGAGAATTTTTTTCTGAATTCTTTTCATATTGGTTGCGCTATAATATTTCTTGGAGATAGTGTTTCATTTCCCAATACTTACGTAGAAATAGCAACATAGAGCTTAAAATACCGCAATTGAACATTTAACGGATGGCACATAATGAATGAATTGTTTTTGTTCTATTTGTTTTTAGAATAGCGAAAAGTTTCTAAAAAAGCTATTTCTACTTTGCACAAATATAAAGTCCGCAGACTAAAAGATATTGTTTTGATATGCAAATTAACTAAATAGAAGGAGGTACAAAAAACAATGCTGTCTCTGTGTACAACAAAACTGGTTCTAATAGTTAAATTTGAATACTTTGATTGATCGATGTATCACGACAAAAACTTTTATCTGTGAACGAAAACGTTGTCAAAGATTGACCATATTGTTCAAAGTGAATTTCCAGGATGAAAAAGTTGAATTTGTAGAAAAAAATTTCTTTGGAATCGTTTAACAATAACTCTAATAAGAACGGAAAAATAAATCGTCTGATTGACTGACGACAAGAATTTTAGTCAAGAAAGAAAATATTCAGTGCGTGTTGAATATAATAGTAGATGCAAAAATTTGTCAAAAGAACTGTATCGTATCAAAGTCTACATTGAAGAGAAAACAAAAAGTTAATTATTTTGAAGATCAGTTCAGAATAATTTTAAAAAATGATGCCAATGGGAATCTTATTTTCTAGTATATACGTTTACTTATTGATGAACTTCGAAATAAACCAAGTTCTCAATTCATTTTATTTACTAATACAGAATGGAAACTGTGCTCACAGATGCATCCAACCAAAGAAGATTTTAATTCAACAAAGTCAACCGAGAGGAAAAACTTTGAAAAAAGGTTAGAGATTGCAGTATTGATTTTTGTACCACTGTTCATTTCATTGTTTTGCAAATGAAAAGGCAATATTGTCTGGTAGAATGACATATTCATGCAGAGCAGAAAACTCTTTCTCTCTTTTTGCTTTAAAAAAAGATTTTGCTCAAATTTCTGAGACTCTCAGATATTCAGAACAAAGTCAGTTCATTCTTTATGTGCCACGCATTACATTTAATTATAGGGTGCTAATTTGTATTTTAACTTATGCAGTTAAATTTGTGCAAATTGAAGCTTTTGGGAAATATAAATATAATGCTCGTTCTAATTAAACTCACCAAGTTCCAAACTAGCTCATTTCCTTCGTTATCAGAATATTTTCTAATGCAGATTCATGATGATTTGATAACTTTAAGTCTTGCGCATCAAAATGAAGTAATACATTGACCGTATCTCATAAAAATTTAGTCTCTCAACGATTAAAATTCTTCTCTTAGCTTTACAACGTTTGATGTGCATATATTTTTAGAAAATTCATAGAAATAGAGTTTTACAGCTTGTGTGACTTAGGCGTGGCTGCCAATAAAGGAACCATATTTGA